CGGGCGCCGCCGGCCGCGCAGAGCTTCCACGGCTGCCTGTACCGGACGTCCCCGGACCCCGCGCAGCTGGGCGCGGCCTACAGCGTGGGGCTGGTGGTCGCCTGCTACCTGCTGCCGTTCCTGCTCATGGGCTTCTGCCACTATCACATCGGCAGGGCCGTGCGCCTGTCGGGCGTGCGCGTGCGGCCCGTGACCACCTACGCGCGCGTGCTGCGCTGCTTCAGCGAGGTGCGCACGGCCGCCACCGTGCTGCTCATGATCGTCTTCGTCATCGGCTGCTGGGGACCCCACTGCCTCCTCGTGCTGCTGGCCGCCGCCCGGCAGGCCCAGGCCGCGCAGGCCCCCTCGCTGCTCGACGTGGCGGCTGTCTGGCTGACCTGGGCCAATGGGGCCATCAACCCCGTCATCTATGCCATTCGCAATCCCAACATATCGATGCTCCTGGGGCGCGGTCGGGAGGAGGGTTACCGGNGGCCTGCAGGCCCGAAGGCGCGGTCGCCTTGGACGCCGCTGTGCCAGCCGGCTGGGCGCCTGCCGCAGGGTGACCTCCAACCCCACGGGCGGGGCGGCTGGGGACGCGGCCGTGTGGGCTCGCAAAACTCCCGTCGTCCTTTTCTGCCGGGAAGGGCCGCCAGGACCCGCGACAGAATCGGCCAGACAGCCCAAACCTGAAGCCTGGGATACCAGCCTCTAAGAAGGGTTGGGATGCGCAGCTTGTGAGGGCAGATTTTTTACCTGCTTCGTTTAATGATACAGGGTTCTGGGGAGAATCGTGCCATTCATAAAGGCAAACATTTAAGAAAAGAATCAGGGGGGAGGCCTACCACTTCCCCCAAACAACAGACAAGCCGATGTCACCTTCAGAAGTGCCAAAAGGAATGTAAAATGCAAAAATTAAAATAATCTTAAACCACACAACCAAGCATTGTGATTGGAAGTGCCAAAAATGATTAAAATAAAATTCACAGTTACTGCAAAGCTTGTATTACAGTCATCACACTGTGAAACAAACAAAATCATTGAATGCAGTCAGTATTTGTTCAGACACATAGTTTCAGGAAAGAACAGAGACCCTCAGAATTGCTTACCGCCCCTCTGAACCACCAGCATTCAACAGAACTTCAGATTTCTAGAACATGCCACTCTGACACATGCTTTGGTTGCTTAGGGTGGGGGCAGAAAATTCTTATCCCTACCTACCCCACCCCTCTAAAATCTTTGTGGGGAATTTTAAATTCGTATCCCATATAAAACCATTGTAGGATTTTGAAAAGGTGATTTAGTACCATAAAATTCAACCACCTGAAGTATGAAAATAAAGGAATGTGGCTGTTTGAAAAGGTATTCTAAGATTATACTTAGAAATTAATGTTCCTCCTCCTACCCCCCAAATTATCTGCCCTGGCTAGCTCTGAGGCTTTACCCTTACTCTAATCTGTTGCTTCTGTTTCTAATACATTGGGGGATGCTGCTCTCAGAATGCTTTTGCACTTTTAAAACATAACTTTCATAGTAGGAAACCTTTGTCTTTTGGGGTAAATTGACTTTTTTAGATTCAGCCAAAATTGTAATTTGAAGCCAAGTTGATTGAATCAGGTGAGTAATGTCATATATATTAAAATAAAAGCTCTATAAAGTAACAAGATTTCACTTTCCTATGTGTTTTTTAACTCACTGAAGATGTTTCCTAAGAGGAATTCTAAAATATTTTGAGAAGTGGCCTCATTCTTGGAATAAACATAGACTTTTCTAAGGTAATCATACTCTCCTACATTTGGAAGTTTGGGTACATTTTTTTTAATGGATCCTTGCTTTACAGATATAAAATAATGTAGTCTTTATTAGAAAGGGAGGCCAGGTGTGGGATTATTATATAATGTAATAGGATCTTAATAAATTAGGCAAGTCAGAGAGGTACTTCAATCAAGCTAGAGATATCTTTAGAAATGTGTGAAACAAAGATGCTTTTAAAAAATTCAAAAGCAGAATTCAGGATTTGCGTGTATAAAATTTCATTAAATGCCGCTCATTTACTCAGAATTTTATGAGATATTTTTGTGTTTTCTCCTTTCTTTCCTCCATCCTGCCTCTCTTGTCTTCAATATTTTATAGCCTTAATTGAATCAGTACCGTAAACTAGGTATGAGACATCAGCTATCCCATAAAGATTTTAATGTGAAGTAGTCACATTTTTTTCTTGTAAAGGTGTTTGATGTGTTTAAGTTTTTGTGTGATAGATAGGTGTATGTCATTATTTTATAATCAAAAATGAAAATATATATTTGTGTCTGAGCTAAAGATGTTTTAATTTTTCTTCTTCTCACTGCATCACCATGATCAGAAGTTTATAAATTATCTGTATATATCTTGCTACACTCAATGTAGTACAGAGTAGATAAAATAATCTCTCCTCTTCAGGACTTGTTACAAAACATATACAGACTTAATGCAGCCAAATAAACATTTAACAGATATCTATAGTATTTGCCTGTTAAAGGCAAAAACAGTATTGTATTTTTTGGCATTGTGAGGACATGGAAGCCATGTCTATGATTTAGGGAGAAATGATAAAAATCTTCCAGTTATGAAAGGCATCACAGAATGAGTTCAGCAACTGAGAATAAAGAGCAGAAAAAGAGTTAGAGATCTTGGGGGAAGGAGGCGAACATGTTGCAAAATAGGGCATCACCTGGAACAAAGAATTGAAGGAAGGTATTTGATAAACACGTATAATAAATGGAGTAAACCCTCCTGGCGAATGAAGGGAACACCTGAGAGACTGGAAATGAGAAACTGGTGGCATGAAGGACTTTAGACAGGAAAGAGAGTCCCACCCTATCTCTTGGCAGGGTGTAGTAAGAAGTTTTGAAAAAGGCATGGCTTGGGGAAGAGACCATATTTCAATGGCTCTAAAAGCTATGGTCAGCAAGAATAGGAGGGGCGAGAGACATGGAGAGCCCCAGCTGGGGCTCAGTGGTGAGCGCGTCAGCCCCTAGACTAAAGGGTCCCGGGTCTGACTCGGGCCGAGGGCATGTAACTGATCGAAGTGTGTCTCTCACATCGTTGCCCCTCTCTCTTTTTCTCTCTCTCTCTCCCCCTCCCACTCTCTCGGAAAAGCAATGGAAAAAATATCCTTGGGCAAGGATTACTAACAAACAAACAGAAAGATGCGTAAAGAAAGGCCAGCCACCAATCTGGCCCAGTTGTCAATATTCAGAAACGAAAATTAATGCCTTGAATAAAAGATGGGAGAAGAATGACCCTCCAGTAAATTTAAGACTTAGGCCTTTCCTCATTGCTAATTGAGTACACAATTTTAGGGTCTTTGTGGGAAAAGGGGGAAGAGAGGTGTGAAATATTGGGGTGTGTTAAACATGGCATAATACAAAAAGGCCAGAATGTAAACCTTCATATCTCATTCTGCCCCCAGCTTGAATATTTCATTTGAATTAAAGTAACAGCAACAGGTCACACTCAGCATAGTACATACATAAGCTCATTTAATCCTCAAAGCAACCCTCTGTGGGGGGAGAGTATTATTGTGATCATTCCCTCTGCTTTACAGATGACAAACCCATAATGCTGCCTCAGGCTGTTTTTTAAAATATTTTTAATGTTTTTGATTATTTGGAAGATTTTAGTATCGTTGGGCCAATAAATCAAAGTTATATATGCAGTATACATTGGGAGTTCCATTTATGGAATGGAAGTGAGCTCTGTGGACCCACTCCCCAGTAAAACAGTCATAATTGGTGAAAATTACTTAAAAAGCAACCATTTGAAGTCTCTGGACATTGTCCTAAGAGCATGCAGCAGAGGAAGAAATATCTACTCAAGAAAGGCTACTATGACGCGGTAAGAACAGCAAGAATCTGCGGAATTTGAGTTAGAACCCAGCCTCCCCCTGCTCCCAGCTCAGTGTGACAGAAACTGCACTTCAGGTGGGTGCAGCCAAGAGAACGGGGCTCCCTGTCCCTCCAGCTCCCAGCCAAGGTCTGTGGGAGCTTCCTGGGCCGAGCGGGCCCTGAGAACCCACCTTTCCCGGGTGCAAGTGGCAGAGGCTAAACCCAGGGGACTGCAGCCAGGAGGCTCCGAGTTCTCTCTGCCACCTGGCCCCCACTCACAGGGTAGGTGCTTAGCCTCAGGCACAGCGTGCTGGGAATATAGTAAATACATATTTTAGTCTTGTCGTTAGTCTTTGGATGTGGTTCTTCTTTTAGGGCATAATTTTCATCCCAAGGTAGAGTCTTTCCGTTGTCTTAAATGAATGCCTGAGGTGCTCAGTGAAATCGCTGCATTCCAGTTGGACTATAACTCCAACCTCATGGGGACCAGTGTCATTTCAGGTATCGCTCTGTTCGTCTCCCAGCCCTAGAGTACCCCTCTCTCCCAGACCTCACGCAATTTGTTCTACGCATGTACAGCCCAACTTTGTTCCAGAGATCTATGGAGGAGCCCCGTGCAGACTTCTGTCTCCCTCTGTCACATAGCTTCCTTTTCCCTGGGACTCTGGCCCACAAGTTCCAGTCATTCAGCTGCCTCCAACTCTGACTCTACATTCTCAGCTTCGCAAGACCCCATTCTTTACTCGGGCTCCACCTCCCAATGTCAAAGTCTGAAAACTAACCATAGGCAGAAAGATGAGTAATTTACGTAATGCAGATGCATATAAAGCACTTAGCATGATGCCTGCACAGAGTAAACGGGCATATATGCTGGGGTTTATCACGAAACCTTTATTTACCGGTATGAAATTTTATATATGGATAATATTTTATTAAAGTAAAAAGTCCATTATAAAATAATATATTTAGAGTGATCTCATTTTTGGAAAACAAACTTTCATTAAAATAAATCTGAAGGGATATCTACAAATATTATTTTTATGACCAAATAATATTTTTACCAAACTACTTAATTATATTCTTCAGTTGTGAATAATTTATCCCATTATATTATTGCATTAAGCATATGTTACTTTTTAAAAAACGAATAAAGATAAACCATGAAAGAGCATCTTGGGGGTCGGTGTTGAAGGAGACAGGAGCAAGTCCCTCCACTTGGCTTTGGAGGGAGTGAAATCGTCTCCCTATTTGCTGCAATGCGCCCTCGGCTTTTTCAGGCCTTTCGGCCCTGCAGCCTCTGACTGGGCCCCGAGTTGCTGGCCTGGCCCCTGAAAACAGGCCACCACAGGAACTCTTCTAAGTTGTGTGTCTAAGTAGTTAAAAAAAATCCTGGCGAACATTTAGTTAAGGGGTCAGCTAGTCTTATCTTTTATTTTTTTATCATAGTGTTATATTATGATTAACAAAATATGCCAAGGGTTCAGGTACTTCACGCAGCCAGGCCTCTGTTCAGCCTCCGCACACAGGCGTGAGGGGGAGGGGATCATCTCATCCTGTCGCTACTCCCCGGGCCCTGACTCTCCTGCTGGACTTGCCTGTGCCTGGTGAGGAAGGCACAGCCGCCAGCTCCGAAGAGCTGTTAGCACTCCCCCCACCGAGGGGCCCTGGCTGGGCTGGCTGGAGGGCATCTCTCCCCCCACAGCCAGGGGCTGAGTGCAACAGGCGCCTTTCCTCTCGGGAATGTGCCCTCTGGTCAAAAGGAGAGAAATATCTCCCCTACGTGAAGGCAAAACATGCATCTTCCTAATTTAATATGTTCTCTGCATGGGCCGGTTTAAAAGGAGACAAT